AAGGCACCCAAATCCTTCTTTCATGTACTCCACACAACCCTGCCATCCTGAACTCACGCCTTCATATTTTCTATACAAATGAAGGACCTCAGTTTGTCCCTGTTGCAATTCCCCTTACTTGTTTCTGCCCACTGTCCAAACCCCCCGGAATCTTGACAATGACCTTTGAGGAGCTTGCTATCCTCCATCTTTGTGCTGTGTGCAAATGTGACAACTGTATTTCCTTACCCTTCATTCAAGTCATTCATCGCTATAGTGAACAGTGCAGGGCTCTTCAACCCTTCCCTCCAGCCAATGCAGAATCTAGGTTTAGCAGTTCGGCCTAGGGCCTTCTGCACACAGAGCAAGGTTCTTCCCTCGGGCCATCGGTGGCTACCCCATTCCCACAGCCTGGCTTCTGCCTGCCTGCCTGGCAGCTCCAGGTATCTTTTGAATTGGAGGTTCCTACTCAAGGCAGCCATTCAAGGGTCTTCCGCCCCTTTTCCCACCGTGCCAAGCTCCCAGGTACCTGCTGCCGGGAAATGTCCTCGCTGCGGAAGGAGATGGACTCCAGCTCGTTGCCCCGGCTGGTCAGGGCCCGGATGTAGCTGTCGCGTTTCTCAAAGCAGGCCTCCAGGAAGTCCACGGCCTTGCGGGCGCGCTCCTGCAGCGGGCGCGTATAGCCCCCAACTCGGTGCTCTGATTCGGGGCCTTTGGCCAGCCCGTCCAACTCATTGATGACTGGCAAGAGGAGAGAGCGGGAGGGAGGATCTGCGTTCACGTCTCACTTCCCTCCCGCCCCGGCAGCCCTAAGGCGAGGGGGTCCTGAGGCCAAGCGGCCGTTCCAGGGGCGGGGAGCAGCAGCGAGAGGAAGAGGGAACGGGGCTGGCCTCTGGAGAAGGGAGGCGAGGGGCCTTCAGGAGGGCCTGATGTGTAAGGGGGGGCAATCCAAGGGGCCCGGGCGCGTCGGACAAAACCAAGGGCCTAAGCGACCCTGCTGCGCCCACGGGGAGCCTGTTGGGCCCCCCCGAGATGGCGAGGCCGCCTGCCCTCGCTGGCAGTCTGGCCAAGAGCTGAGATCAAGTGGGAACTATGCGCTCCTTGGGGGCGGGGCCGCCCCTCCCGCTTCTGGGGCCAGTGATGCTGCCCCTCCTGGGACGGCTTCCACAGGGTTGTCCCCCCCGACTCCCGCCAGTTCCCAGCCAAGGCACGGCGGCCCGCTTCTGAGCGCGGGAGGGAGCGCCGCGCACGGGACATCAAACGGCCCCGAAAACGGGACGAAGCGGGCACTGCATCTGAAGTCTGTTCGGCAGCCGCGTCCAAGCCAAACAGCCTTCAAAGGGAGGTTTGTTTGCGCTCCTGCCCAGGCTGGCTTCTCCACAGCGGGGTCGAGTTGAGGGGACACGGAGGAGCGGGGGAAGAGCTGGGGAAGGCGGCCTCCGCGGGCGGGCGGGCGGCGGGCAGCGGCCAGGCTTCGGCTCTCGGCCGCCCAGCCCGCCTGCTGGCAATACATGGAGCCCTGAGCCGGCACCCAGGCGCGGGGAGGAGGCACGGGGAGCACGGATCCTCCCGCAAGGGGCCTGGGCTGGGCTGGCTGCCTGGCAGGGGGCAGCGCCGGGGGCAGAGTGGCCGCCGGGAAAGGAACCCAACCGCTGCAGGGAGCTCTGCCTGGAGCAGCCTGGGAAGAGGAGTGCCGGGGAGCCCCGGGCAGGGATCAAGGCAGGGGAGGCCACGCTCCCCACCCCAGGAGCTCCCCCCGCCAGGCAGGGGCTGCCTGCAGACCAGCCGGGGGAGTGCCTCGTCCCCACAGACAGAGCTTCCTGCCTCCCGCGAGAATGGCCGAAGCCCAGTTCCCTCCGCACTTCAGGGGAGGGAGCGGGACAGGAGGGTGCCCGGCACTTACCCCCCCAGCTGCAGACCACCCAGCAGCAGGCTGTTATCTGCCCAGGCCGGGTGTTTACCACTAACAGGAGCCAGCTCTGCTGAGTCGTTGGACTGCAGCTTTATAAGGAGAGAAGGGAGAGCCGAGCCAGCGGCAGGCCACGGGCTGGGTGCCCCGCCTGGCTCAAGCCCTCCCCTCCGGACAGCTCCTGCAGAGGGAGCCAGCCCAAGGAGGTCTCTGCCCAGCTGCAGTCAGCCCGGGGTGCCTAGCAGGAAGGGGTCCAACCCTGCCCGTCTTTCGGCTTTAGCATCTCATGAGGCCTGCCAGCCCACCACGCCCCACGCTGCTCCCGCAGTGGCCAAGTGGAGGCCCTCTGGAGGAGTCACCGGGGAGGACGGTTCAGGCAAGGGTGCTCGGAGCAGGGGAGACGGCAGGTTCCCTTAACAGCCAGCTCCGCAGGCTGACTTTGCACCCCACGTGCTCTCTGGCCTAAGGAAGGAGGGTCGGACGCCGGGAGAGACGGGCAGCTCTGGAGCTGAGGGTGCCCAGGATAGCGGGGCGGCTGCTAAGGCCACTGGGAGAATTAAACCTCTCCCCGCGGTGCAAGTCAAACAAGGGTTGGACGAAGCAGCGCCACTGGAGTGGGGAGCACTAACCTGTCCACCAAGGTTGTGGCAGCGAAAAATATGGGTGATGGCGCTGCTGCACCTCCTTTCGAGTTTAACAGGCAGGAGCTCGTTGTGCACGCGCACGCTGAGCGACCATGCCAGGAGGATTGTGGATAAGCAGGGCGAGCTCCTGGAGGCATCGGGACGCCTACCACTTGGGGACATGACCTGTGTGTGCCTGGTGTGGGACTGGGCCCCCTGCCGACTTACCAATCAGGGGCACCACGAGGATGAACTGCCTGCAGTCCAGAAGCTTGGCGAGGCTGCCCAGGTGGTCAATGAAGCCGTTGGTGTCCGGGACCAGGAACACGGGGCGGATCTCCAGCTCCATCTGCCTCACCTGGGCCTGGTCCTTTAGCACCGCCTGCAGGAGTTGTGGGGGAGGAGGCGCGTTTGAGGTGGGGAGGAGCACGTGAGCCGCCGTGGTCTCTCGGGGAACGCACGATGCAGGAGGCTGGAGCACGAGCCCCTTTACCCTTATCCAGACGGGACAAGAACTGGCTGGGAATGATGGGAGTTGTAGTGCTCCAGAATTGGAGGGTCCCAGGTTGGGGAATACCGATCTGCCCTCTCCTTCCTGAAACCTGGAGGGTGCTCTTGCTGGTTGTGCTGGCTCTAGCGTAAAGTACTCCTGTGAAGCCCCCGAGACCCTCAGTTCTGAGTTGGGCTGGGAATCCCCGGGCAGCGGAGATCAGACTCGTGACTCACCGCCCCCCAACCCGGGGGCTTGCAAGGTGGCTCTGGCGATGAGTGCCTGCCGGCTGTTTCGTTGGTGGCTTTGTGAGGATCGTGAACAGGCTGGCCTTTTCACTGTTTTAGGGCTCCTTGCGCCCCAAGTAACCCACAGATGGGCTGCCTGGCACGCGTGGGGGGAGTCGAGATACTGTGCGTTTTCATGTTCCTATGGGCAGGAACATGCCACGTGCACACGTGTTGAAAGAAAAGACACGGCACGCTCCCAGGCGTCTGCATCAGCCGGCTCATTCCATCGCCACGGTGGACAGCTATTCCTCTGGGATGGGCTGAGGAGACTGGCTAGAAGGCCTCCGTGTCCCTTCCAATCCCAGGATGCTACAGTGGCCGCTCGCCCAGCCCCGGCACGCCTTCCTCTCCGGGGACTCCTCTGTGGGTGCCGCGACCCATGTGCCCAATGCCCTTCCAAGGCTCTTGGCCCGACTCCTGGGCTCCTGGCGCTGGAAGCGAGGTCCGTGCTGGCCGTCACGTCCCATCCTGCTCCCCTGGGCTGGCCGAAGAGAGGACGACAGGATGCGAGCGGCTGCGGGGACGGTGCCAAGTCTCCCTCCCCCGCCGCAAGGTCCAGCTCGAGGAGCCGGGGGAAGCTGGCCTCAGGAGAAGGCCGTTTGCCCTGGCAGTGGCTGGCTGAGGGTGCGAAGACAGGGGGGTCCGAATGCCTGGACGGAGGTCAGAACCCTCCCGCGAAGGGGGCAGAAGCCGCAGAGTGTGTGCAGAACCGCTGCGTTCCTCTCAGGCCTCCTGAGCAGGTGGGGCCCGGCTGACGCCTTCCCCTTCCCCTGGGAGGCCGGGAGGCGGCCAGCGGGCAGCAGATCTCAACGTGTCCGCTGCCCGGTAGGACTCGTCTGCCACCAGCGCTGTGGAGCCGCCGGGTGGGGGTGCCCTTCCGCTGCTGGCAGGTGCGCAGCTGTGCACGGGCGCTGGCTCATTGTTTCCCAGCGAGGGGCCAGCCGGCCAGGGCTAAATTTAGACCGCAGCCTCTCCCGGCCCCGCGGCTGCGGGAGAGTGCTGGGCCTGAGCGCAGGAGCTCCCAGGGGAGGGACTGCCCCCGCTGCAGTGCCCAGAAAAGAATAGGGCCTGCTCAGAGGAAGGCATTGTTATGCTTCAGGTGGGGATGTTTTCTCCGCGCAGGAAATGCCGCTTCTCTCGCCTCTAAGCAGGCCGGGCAGCCTCGGCAGCATCTGGGGGCTGGGGCGGGGGACAAGGTCCTCCCCTGTTCCTGGCTGGATCCAGGCTTGCCGGCCTGCCAGGATGGTGGCTGGAGGCCAGGGAGGCCTTCTCAGCACCCCGAGCCCTGAGGTGGCCTACGCAGCCAGAGGTTGCGAGAGCCCCTCCGTTCCAGCAGACCGGCTGCCTGGTCACCCGAGGGGGCAGAAGCCGGCCCTAGGCAAGCCCTTTTCCCTGCTGGTTTCAGCAGAGGGCCCGGGCTGAGAGGAACCTCCTGCCTGGAGCAAATCCCCGCCAGCCCAGGTGCCCCAATTTTCAGCTTGCAAGCGCAACCCCTGTAAGGTGCAGAAATGCCGGAGCTGAGCTGGGAACAAGGGTGGGAAAGGGCTGCGGGAGCGCAAGTGAAAGGGGGCACGTGCTTGTGTCCCTGGGCTGAGGAAACTGCCTCCTCTGGGACCAGTACAAGGACGAAAGGGGTCTGGAGGCCAAATCCTGCGCAGAACGGCTGGAGGAACCGGGCACGCGTAGCTCAACGAAGAGAAGATGGAGGGGAGACAGGATCGCCGTCTTCCCAGCCTTGAGGGGCTGCCCCAGGGAGGAGGGCCTGGGCTGATTCTCCAGCGCCCCGGAGTGCAGGGCGAGGAGCAACAGGCGGAAGTTCATCGGAGGGAGATCGGCCATGGAACAGAGTTGTGGGTGCTCCACCGCTGGAGGCTTTCAAGAAAAGACTGGACAACCGTT